AAAATCTTCACTTATAAAACTGAAACACTAAAGCATTAAAATACAGAAAGCTCGTTTAACTCACTTCACAAAAGCATTAACAGATGACGTATCCCTTCTCTATTTAAAGCCCTACCGTGTGAACACTTCAATTTTAAATAGAAAAAGGATATCCAAGTCGTATTAACTCAAAAAAAAATAAAAAGTCTATTTAGACAAAGTTGTAATGGCAACTAACAAACCATTAAATACAGAGATGCCCAAAATACAGCTAAGTATGGAATTACAGGTACTCAACCATTAGTGACCGGTATCACAAAGAGCACTGCAACATGGAAACGGGGCGCGGGGGGTTACGTGGTCACCGTGAGGCCAAAAAACGGGATTTTCCAAGTGCGGGAGGTAACAAAACTCGGCTTTATCTGTACTGGTAGTTCATGCTGTGGTCGTTCCTGCCGTAGCCGCCTTGGGAAGCCTGGTAGGAGCTGGGGGGACCGCTGTAATTCTGGCCGGAGCCGGGCGAGTTGTAGTTGGATTGCGAGGAGTATCCGCCTGCAACGGGAACGCGGTTGGGAGGGAGCGTTCGGGGGGAAAACGCGGAGTTTCGGGAACGCCGTGGGAAGAGGCCGGTGGGAAGAGAGGCTGGAAGGGGCGGTACTGACCTTGCTTACCTTGGTACGAGGACCCTCCGCCCCCAGAGCCTCCCCCATAGCCACCGTGCGAGCCCGTGTTGTAGGAGGCGCCGCCGGAGTAGCTGTTGCCGCCGCGGCCGCTGCTGCCGCCGTAACCTGCGGAGGACGGAGACGTTAACGGAGCCCCCGGTCTGGGATTTCACACATATCATCAATTAAAGAGAGCGTAATAAAACAGAGGCCGTTTATTTTGGGTCATGATGAAGGTAGGACATCTATGGAATACTACCCATGTCCAAGAGAGATTCCTTCAATCTTCTGTTCCTCGGATAATGGGGAAAACAGTAAAAAGGGAAAAATTAATCGGGGAGGGACTTTGCATGGACTGGGGATAGTATTTAAAGAAGGAAAAAAAGCACTTCCCAATACCCCAAAAGTTATGAACTCCCTTAACCTAGCGTGGGTGTAAATAGGGGGGCACAAAGTGGGAAAAATTGTACACCCATTTAGTGTCTCTATTCCACAGATAAAAGTTTCAGATGGAATAATCTTTTTTTGATCAGAGGAAATTGCAGAATATAAACATGCAGAATATAAACTTGCAGATTATTGCAAGATAGAGGAAAGCCGACGTTTGGATCGCCGGCCCCGCTGTATCCGTGCTGGGGTCACCCGGCGGTCCCGATTTCCCTTTGGGGAAATGCCCGGAGCTTTTTCCCAGAAATCAGGCCGGACCAGCCCAGCAGGTCGGCCGGGCCGGAGCCGCTCCGCTTGGCACGGAAAACACGAAACCCGAGCGGTTTAAGCCCACTAAACACGCGGAGCATCCGCTCGGGGTCACCCCACTCACTGAATTTGCTCTCGTAGTTGTAGTCGGAGCCGCCGCCGGGCGAGTTGTAGGAGTTGGAGTAGGAGGAGTAGTTGCCCTGGCCGTGGTTGTAGCCCTTCTGCTTGCCCTGGGGGGGGCCGTAGTTGCCGTATTGGTTCTGGTTGTACGACTGTTGCTGCTGCCCCTGGTGGGACTGGTAGCCGGAGCCGTACGAGGGTTTCTGCTGCCCCCCGTGTTGCTGCTTCTTGTGTTTCGGGGGCACCGGGGAGTTGTAGTTGTCGCCGCCCTGGTAGGAGGAGCCGTCGCCGGCCGCCGCCGGAGTTGGAGTGGCCGCCGTTGCTGTAGAACTGGCCTGAGCGGAGAGAGCAGAGGGAGTTTAGCCCCCAAATAATGGGGAGGGTTGGTTTAGCCCCAAAACGGGGCGTTTCGGGAGGGAAAAGCACTTTACGGGTCGGGGTTGTCTTAAAATAAAGAGGTTTTTGCTCTTATGGAAGCGACGGCGCAAGAGCGGCCCGATCCCACACGGAAACGCTCCACGCGCGGCCGAGAGGAGCCAAACGTGGCCCCTTGGATGGGGAATTCGGAATCACCCTCCGAATCACTTGGAGAAATTCCCATTTGGCAAGGCCGAGCCGGTTCTCCCATAGCTTTAATGGCAGCATCATCCCAAATCCCAGAACTCAGCCCAGGGCGACCACACTCGTTTCGTTTTCCTTTTAATGCATTTTACAATAACTAACAGTTCTCCGTGTTCTACAAAGGTTTAAAATCTGGAGCTCAAGCTACATTTGAGGCAAGTCAGCCAGGAGCACGAGGAACAATCCCATTCCTGGCATGAGGAATTAAGTCCACATCCACGCAGGTCGCTAAGAAAGAACCGTCCCTATCACTTCCCACATGGAATGAACAGGAACAGGATGAGGGACGTGAAAATGTGCTGTAAAAGGGCAAAAATTGGGTGTTTTTTGGTCTTTCCTCCTGTTTTTTCCCAGTGCTGCCGCTCAGGTTCCTCAGCTGCCGCGAGGGGATTTTCCGGCCCAATTCCTGTTTTCCGGCCCAATTCCTGCCCGTGGAGCTTCCAGGAGTGTTTCGGGTTTGGGCTGGATGGGAGAAGACTCGCTCTGGAGTCGGACTTGCCACGTTAAAAAACTAACTCCTTTTACGGGGTAAAAAACGCTGGGATCTAACTAAAAACCTGCACCGGTGTCTGGAACAGCTTGTGCACTCTGGAACCTAATGATGCCGCTAACGAGGAGGAGCTTTGCTGGCGTCTCTTTTGAAAAGCAAGGAGGCACGTGAGAATTTAGCGTTTCTCCGGAAAAATTGGAAAAGAGACGAGGGATAAAATCCTGTGCCTGATTTTCCTGCGATTCCGGGTGAAACGGCTCCTCCTGGAGGCGGATGGGAGCTCCTTTCCCAAATCCAAGGGGTGTTTGTGTGTGCAGAGCAGCAGCTCCTCGAGGCACCTCAGCTTTGCTCTTCACCGGAATCGTTTTTCAGCGCTCTAAAGATCCCTGGAATCACAAAATTCCTTCTTCCCTCTGCACTACAATAAGGCTTCCCACTTTACCAGCTCCTTTCTCCCCTCTTCCGCAATACGGGACACGGATCCCTCCGGACAAGGACCAGGACTCGTGTCTGGGTTGGTCTCGGCCAGGTGAGGACCCAAATTCCACAGTTTCCACTTTCCCTAGGAACCCTTCACATCCAACTATCAAATTCCAAGGCTGTTTGACACCTGGAATTTTCTACTTCCCCCTAAAATCAAAGCTAAGGAATAAAAATACCCACCACAGCAGTCCTTTCTTTGACATGTATTCACTTAAAAAAATGGCAGTTGTGCACCTCATTCAGGACAGGATCTATTCACTTGTATAAAAAAGTCATGATTTCAAACAATAGCTTTCTAAAAAAAATAGGGCATGCATTATTATTATTATTAAGTACTCACTAGATACCGTGGACTTTTTTTTTTTTTTTAACCTGATTCACAGGTTAAAGGTTTTTGTTTTGCCTTTTTTTTTTCTTTTTAAACTAATTTACTTACTGAGTTAACTCAAATGCTGTTGAGCTTCACAAGTTAAATTAACGCGCCGGCTTTGCAGCCCAGAACAGTGACAAACAAAACACAGTATTAAAACAAGTTCCACAGCAAGAATAAAGGACCCAACACTTGGAGCTCAGAGCCTCGTGTCTTAAAACGGCCAATTTCAAGTTCCTGCTGTTTCCAATTCCCAAGGAATAATTCCCAATTATTTATTTCCCCAGGTTTTGGGTCACTTTGAGGGTGATGCGCGTCCCGCTTGCTCGAGTGCTCTAGGCCCTTTATTTTTGGCTCAAGAAAGCCCGTTTTCAGGTGACAAATGACTCCATGCATTTTCAGAAGGTCAAAACTAGCGGTTTTTTTACATCAGCTCCTAATGCCTGGGTTTTTATTGTACTGGAAGCAGTTACAATACCTGGGACATACACTAGCTACCAGCCACAACAGTCACAGCCCTCCCGTTCATCCACCAGCGGGTTACAGAGGCTGTAGGGTTCATTTGAGCACATACCATTCCACACACAACAGTTTTGCATGCTTAAAAAGCTGGGCTGCACTATGTTCAGACACGTGAAAAATCTTCCCAATATCAGAGGCATTGACCCAATTGCTGGGATTTATTAAAAGGCTCAATTTTTTGTACAAAACCTGCCGTAAATTAAGACAAAGGTAGATTAAAACACTCCAGTATCTGTTTCTTAAAAATAATGCTTTCCATAAAAAGCAAAGATGGGCTTTTTTTTTTTTTTTTGCCTTTACGCTGAACGGAGCTGGCTTGGAAGTTTGTGCAAACGGCACAAAAACATTCGTGGATAATTAGTTCCCCCTGTTGTGTACATCGATACGACCAAGTTCAAAGGCAAATCACAATAAAAACGGCCACTGCCTGAAGTTCTGCAGGGTAATAAGAGTTTCAGACAAGCTGCGGTGAAAAGCCACTGTTGAGAACCCCAGTGAAGCACAGGGACACGGCACGAACACTTTGGGTTTTGGAGTTCGAGAAAATTGGAGTAAAAAGCTGTTTTTTGTGCAATACTTTTGGATGATCTAGGAAGACCCAAAATCATGATAGCCGTAGCAGTCTGTGAAAAAGTCACCTACAAAAGGGGGAGACAGAGCAGAGAAAAAAAATTAGAATTCTTTTGAAGAGGGCACAATGCGCCACATTTGAAAGTCATGTTTTAGATTTCTCTGCTCCTGTCACTCCCCAATGAAGGCTTCTTCTCAAGACCAATCGCTGGGTATTTTCAGGCAAATCTGATTCACAAGTGTGGCCGATAGCTTCACATGGCTTAAAGCAGAGAAATTTAAAATATTTCAACAGTTTTTGCGGAAGAAGTCGCCCGGGTTTGACTTTTAAGCGTCTACGCAAGCCATCTTTCAGTATTCCTCAATTCGGGAAATTCGGGAGCACCCCTTAGGATGGCTTCGGCACCAGCATATCATCGTATGCTGCCCCAGGCTGAGTTTTACACCCCCAGATTGATGTGCTTCGAAAATGTAAAAATGGAAACTTACTATAGCCTGCCGTCGCGGAATTTCCTCCGTACCCATAGTTTCCATATCCAGCACCTAAATGGGAATAAAATGGTTAGACTCCAGGGAATAAAGGCACAAAATCCTTTGTTTTCTGCGAGGCTACGAAATGCTGGAGGAGGCGGGTGAATTTTGGGGCGCGGGGGGTGTTTTTGGCTGGTTTTACGGGGAGGAGGAGGCCCGAGGCACGCGCGGCCGCTCACCTGCATTCATGTAGCCATGGGGCCTCCCATCCCGAATCCCGGGTTGTGCTGTTGGAGGAAGGGAGACTCATTACAAAACACGCAGGGTTTCGCCACGCGGCCCCGGTGAAAGCAGGGCCTTGCAAAATCCCGCCGGAACGCCGCGCGTTCCGATACCCGTCGGAAGGGAACGGGGCCAAGGAAGAGACGGAGAGGGTGATATCGGGTTTGCAGTAATCTCCAGGAAATGGGCTGCAGAAAAAACACCTGCAAAACTTCCTGGATGCCAGAGCACCGTCTGGGAGGTTATTTATGACTTTCTGGTCGGATCTAAGGCCCCCTGGTCGGATCTAAGGCCCCCTGGTCGGATCTAAGGCCCCCTGGTCGGATTTACGCCCCCTTGGCCGATTT